AGCTCAGATGGAATGTGTACTTCAGATTAGGAAAGATGACTAAGGAGGAAACCTGATAGAGGTCTGAGAAAACTATGCACTTGGGGAAAAAATGGGTAGAGCAGGGGGGGCCCAAACCTTTTTGAGCCTGCAGGCACATGTGGAATCCTGTCACAGCATGGTGGGCACAGTCCTACCTGGCCCTGCCCACTTCCTAAACCAGTTTGGTGTAGCAGTTAGGAGCGCAGACTCTAATCTGGGAGAACCGGGTTTGATTCCCCACTCCTCCACATGCAGCCAGCTGAGTGAGTTTGGGTCAGCAACAGTTCTCTCAGAGTTGTTCTCTCAAGGGTAGTTCTCTCAGAACTCTCTCAGCCCCACCTGCCTCACAGGGTGTCTGTTGTGGGGAGAGGAAGGGAAGGAGATTGTGAACCTCTCTGAGACTCCAAGTGAACAGCGGGGTATAAATCCAATCTCTTCTTCTGATCCTTCTTCTTCATCATGCTCCTCCTCCTCCTCCCATGGGCTCCACATTGGGGGGCCCCGGGGTAGAAGAAGAAGAAGAAGAGTTTGGATTTATACCCCGCCCTTCACTACCCATAAGAGTCTCAGAGCGGCTTCCCTCCCCACAACAGACACCCTGTGAGGTAGGTGGGGCTGAGAGAGCTCTGACGGAAACTGCTCTTTTTCAAGAACAGCTTTTATCAGAACTACGGCTTGCCCAAGGTCATCCAGCAGGTGCAAGTGGAGGAGTGGGGAAATCAAACCGGGTTCTCCCAGATTGGAGTCTGCACACTTAACCACGACACTAAACTGGCTCTTGAGAGACCTGTTTCTTCTCCCAGATTATTAGAACTCAGGCTGAACTTCATGAAACTGATAGGTGGTAGATTCAGGAGAGAAAAAGAAATGCTTTTTCACTCTGTTGTGGAATTCACTTCCAGTGAATGCAGTGCAGGCCACTAGCATGGATTTATTTATTTATTTTATTAGATTTATATACCACCCTCCCCAATGGGCTCAGGGCGGCGTACAACATTTAATATGCAATTAAAACAATATTAAAATAAACTGTGCGACTGAACAACAACAAAATAACAATTTACACATAAAATCATCAGATACCGTATAATTACAAAAATTGTCAGATGATTAATCAAAATCAGGCCACTGATGGACAATTGGCCTGAAGAATTGGGCAGAAAACAAGGAGGACGTCTACTGCCTCAACCAAATGCCCGGCGGAAGAGTTCCAACTTTCAAAGGAGATTGGATGGATTAATGAAGGATAGGATTCATGTTCAGAAGCATCCGGTGTGGAGGGGGGACAACAAAAGGGGGAAGCTCTGGTTTGTCGGCCTTCTGTGGGCATCTGGTTGGCTATGGTGTGAACTGGGATGGTGGACCTGGGATGGTGGACCACTGGGTCTGATCCAGCATTCCAGCTCTTAAATTACCGGCTTACCTGAAGGACCGCCTCTTCCCGTATATTCCCCCAAGAGCACTACGATCGGGGAACTCCCATCTCCTGGTAGTTCCAGGTCCCCGAGAGATCAAGTTTGCCCCTACTAGGGCCAGGGCATTTTCGGTGGCGGCTCCTACCTGGTGGAATGAGCTCCCGGATGAGATCCGGGCCCTGCGGGACCTTATGCAGTTCCGCAGGGCCTGCAAGATGGAGCTCTTCCGCCAGGCGTTTGAGTAGGAGCCGCCGCCACCACTATCCTACCAATGAGGTAGTGTGCCATCAGCAGCCCTGTTAAAGGGGGACTGGCAGCCCTGTTAAAGGGGGACTGGCTGGTAGAACAGCGTAGCAGGAGACCGCGTTGCCGAGAGAGCTGGCCATCAAATTTAGGTGGTTGTCCCATCTTGGAAGATTAAATATAGGCTCAGCACCGTAGTGGTTAGGTGTGAGGACTCTAATCTGGGAGAACCGGGTTTGATTCCCCACTCCTCCACTTGCACCTGCTGATGTGACCTTGGGTCAGTCACAAGCTCTGGCACAGCTGTCCTTGAAAAAGTAGTTTGTGTCAGAGTTCTCTCAGCCCCACCCACCCCACAGGGTGTCTGTTGTGGGGAGGGGAAGGGAAAGGAGTTTGTAAGCCGCTCTGAGACTCCAAGTGAAGGGTGGGGTATAAATCCAATCTCCTCCTCCTCCTCCTCCTCCTCCTCCTCCTCCTCCTCCTCTTCTTCTTCTTCTTCTTCTTCTTCTTCTTCTTCTTCTTCTTCTTCTTCTTCTTCTTCTTCTTCTTCTTCTATGATAGGATGGTTTTATTGTGTTTTAAATATGTATTTTATTATATGCTTTATTGTATTTTACTCTGGCTTTGCCATATGTAAGCCGCCCTGAGCCGTTGGGAGGACGGGGTATAAATAAAAAAATTAATAAAAATAAAATAAAAATAAATTCTGATTTGGAAATGGGCATTTATGAAACCATAGATAAGGAAGCAGGTTTGCTAATAACTATAAGGAGGTGCTGTTTTATTTTGACATCTAAGATTAAAGGCAACCTTTACTTTAAAATGAGCAGCATTTCCCCCCCCCCTCTTTTAAATAAAGCAGTTTACTTCCTCGTTGTTGCTTTTTGAAGCAGCAATCCTTCCTGGATTCTGGGTTTTCATGCAAACACCAAATAACAGCCCTTTATTATCTCATTAGTCGATCATGGTTCTCTTAGGGTGCAATAAGAGATTCTTTAGTATGTGTTTGGGAGTGTAAACTGAGGACAGAGATAAGGAATAGCAGCCAGCATGAAATCCTCCCAAACAAAGGAAGAACAGCCATTTCTGAATGGAAAACAAGTTGGCTCTCTGCAGTAGATAACCCAGTTTGGCTCAGATCTTGACAATTTGACAGGGTAGCTGACCTCAGGGCGAACTCCTGCACTGGCTCCTCCAACAACTCAACCCTGAGTCTATCATGTTGCTTTTGAAAGGCACAGACGCATTCCCTGGGGTCATACCTGCATCCAGAGAGTCATGACACTGTTAAGCTGGAACAAGGAGATGTTTATCTCCGAGGTCCAGTTCACACAACCCAACTGTGAAAATGTGGGCTGAACGTAGAGTTCAGGAGGAGTCAACAGAATCTTCTTTCTCACAAAAATAATCTTACAATATTTTATTTCACACAGTAATTATTAATGAACGCTAGGAATGAAAATTATTGCCGTGGTGCTGGTTTGGTTGTGGAAATCCTGGATTGGCACTGAAGCGCGCTGGCTGACTAGGTTAAAAGTACACTTTCGCACCAAGGAACCATCCCTGGGCAGGTTGGGAGGGGGGCTCTTGGTAGTTGGTGATTCGATCCTTAGGTAGGTAGACAGCTGGGTGACGAACCTGCGTACTGACCGTATGGTGACTTGCCTGCCTGGTGCGAAGGTAGCGGACATTACGCGTGTTTTAGATAGGCTGGTAGATAGTGCTGGGGAGGAGCCAGTGGTCGTGGTGCATGTCGGCACCAACGATGTGGGGAAATGCAGTCGTGAGGTCCTGGAGGAGAAATTTAGGCTGCTGGGCAGGAAACTTAGCTCCAGGACCTCCAAGGTAGCTTTCTCAGAAGTGCTACCTGTTCCACGCGCAGGGCTGGAGAGACAGGCACAGATCAGGAGTCTCAATGCGTGGATGAGACGATGGTGTAAGGGGGAAGGGTTCAAGTTTGTTAGGCACTGGGATGCTTTTTGGAACAAGAGGGAGCTGTACAGACAAGACGGTCTCCACTTGTCCCGAGAAGGAACCAGGCTGCTGGCACTTAAAATCAAAAAGGTGGCAGAGCAGCTTTTAAACTGAATATTGGGGGAAAGCCGACAGGAGATGAAAAGTCTCTGGTTCGGGTTGGCTCATCTGAGAGAGGTGAGGGGGTACCGGTTGCTTTTCTACAGGGAGGTGGATTGAAATTGTCCACAGAGGCCATGGCTGGTGACATGGACTGCCGGACAACGACTCGAGATAGCAAGAGGAAGGATGCAGGCTTAACTTGTAAGGGAAATTACAGCTGTTTCTATACAAATGCTAGAAGTGTCCGAGGTAAAATCGGGGATTTTAAGCATGTTTTTATTTTAAGTAAAAAAACCCTTTATGTTTGTGTCCTTTATAAAGTTTATATCTCTGCTACCTGGCATTACATTATATGACACACATGTCCTGGCCCAACAAGGTCTCATTTATGTCAGATCCAGTCATCATAACAAATGAGTTCGACACCCGTGGTCTAAACTGTTCATAAAGGACAGCAACTTGTAAGTGCTGAGTTGGTGTATTCTTACTGCAAGGCCCCCTGGGCTGGGTGCAGAGGAAAACCCACATGAGCAGACTGGAGAGCCTGGGGTGCAGCACTGGGCAGATGCTCCCGTGCTGCTTGATTGCTGGAGACAAGGTTGTTCCGCCAGGCTGAAGCCACAATCAGAGTGGCTCTTCCCACGCCCCCCCCCCCAACAGTCTCCTGTTCCCAACCTTGCACTAGTTGCTTGCGCGCCACATAAGAGCCCTGGATTGGTGATGTTTGACACGTGATGGGTGGCAGGAAAGGTATCAATGAGGTGGCCCGTAGCTACGGTGGGACTATTTGGGGCTCTGCCCCCTTTCTCAAAGGGACAGCCTCACAAGATTTTTGCCTGAAAATGCTTTTTTTTTTTAAACTCATTTAAAAACCTTTTTTCAAGACATGTGTCATGAACAGAAGCTGGGTGGAATGAGTCAAACGTCCCTTTAAGGGCAAGCCAGGTGGAATGAGTCAAACGTCCCTTTAAGGGCAAGCCAGGGTTCTCCCCCCCCCCCCGGGTTTCTTTTAACCCCCCCCCCCCCCGGTTTCACTTGAACATCCAGCTGTGTATGCATTAAATATGAGCCTGCCTTCGCGGGGAGGACGGGGTATAAATCAAATAAATAAAATAAATAAAATATAACATGAGAATTACTCGCTGCACATGGGGTGTTTGGAGGGGGGGTGTCTATGCAGCCCCACCAGAAAAAAATTGCCCCACAAGTCACAAAATCCTGGATATGGGCCTGTCTGTGAGCGCCATGGCACCTGTGGGCGCCATGTTGGAGACCCCTGGTCTAGGGAGACTCAGCCACGGCAGCGAAAGACCTGTTGCCCCCGAGGAAGCCAGTCACCACCAGCTGGGGACGGTGAGGCTAAGCCATTGCTTGACAGCTAACAAGATGCCTTTGGCCAGATGCGTTGGCGACACCAAAACCCAGTGGGTAGCAGGTAGCAGTGTGCTCTTCTGGTGGGACTCCCTTTTTTATTTCCGGACATCATTCAGACCATTGCATGTACACCATTTGTTATGGCAGCAGCACATATGTACAGATTAAGTCACAGTTTTCATAGGAACTGTGCTTCGGTTGTGCGAGCATTCCTATTTGCACTGTGCTTATGTGTTGGCATGCATCGGTCCCTTAAATATATACCGCTGGGTCCAGCACAGTTCCCGGGCTGTGCTGCTGCCAGCCAGCCCAGTGTATGTCCCAGGCTCCTCTGATGCATTCTCTGTGTTTGCAACAGAGAACACTCTTTTATTTTGGGGGTAATTTAGGCTTCCCAAGTCCCCCCGGGGGGCGGGGAAACCCCCACCCCAGAGGCCCGTTCCCCGCGGATCGGGCCCCGGGGGAACCCCACCCCCAAAGTATGTGACATGCACGTCACCCAGAAGTGACGCAACCACGCCAGTCACGCTGGGGGCGGGGCCACAGTCATCTGTCCCTCGGATGGTCGTGGCCCCGCCCCCAGCGTGCCCAGCTTGATCACGTCACTTCCGGGTGACGTGGTTGCCGCACGCGCGCGCTTCGCACGCACACGCGTGCTCCAGGAAAGAGCTGGGAGTCCCCTGCTCCAGCAAAAGGTAATACTTGGCAACCCTAGGGCAATTTGACCCCCCAATGTATTTTTTAAAGATGTCAGATTCTTCTGCAAACCTAGAGGGTCCTCCAAGTTTGCAGAAACATCTGTTTTGGGTAAGTGTAGATATCCACAGATGGGGGCCACACTTGGAATGTTATTTTTCAGGTGTTACCTTCACCTTCCCAACTTCTCACCGCATTTCATCCAGTGCCACCCTGCCAGAGTTACTTTGGAATACTTTTGCATCTGTGAGGTAGAAAGAAAATGCATCCGTTTGACTCATGATCCGAATAACCTGCACAAAAGAGACCATTTGAGGAGATGACAACTTGATCGTTAGCAGTTTACCCCCAGCTCTTTAAATACAATTAATATTTTGAGAATAAAAGAAAATCAGCACTGAAGTCCATTAAGGGTTTAGTTAAACCCACAAAAGCCAGAGATTTCAAAGATCAAGTTTGTAATTCTGCCTTTAATTCCTCTTCTTTCAATTATATACTTCATCTCAGGAGGCCTTAGAGCAGTAGGCGATCTTGCCTAACTTATAATTTCTATTTCCCGGGCACAATAGGGTGAGGGGAGAACAGGCTTGACTTTGAAATGCCTCACTTTAGTGGCCTTTAAGCAGCCAACTGGTGCTATTAAAATGCACTTCAAACAACTCTGATCCTGTGTTTTTGGAAACAAGCTACCATTCCCAGGCACTGGTTATTATTTGCTAAAGCTATTAGCAAGGTAGATGGCCTCATTAAGGTTTGCTTTTGAGCACTGATAGCAGGGACCTTTTCATTTTAATAACATGCTACAAAATAAAAAATTATATATCGTTAAAGTGGCACGGTGTTCAATTGCTCCCTAACTGTGCCTATTACACAAGCTGTACATGGAATGCATTGAAATAGCAAACACGTGGCTCACAGTACACGTTTCCCTTGTGATCGGATGGCCCTCCCCTTTAGAACTGGTATGCTTGAAGCTCATATATAATGGGGGGTTGAGGGATCAAAGCCCAGCTAGGCCATGAAATCATCAAGCTTCTGGACATTTACGGTGTAATCCGGAGCAGAATTATATCCTTCCAAACCCATTGACTTCAGTGGAAGTTAGAAGAGGAGGAGGAGGAGGAGATTGGATTCATACCTTGGCCTTCACTCAGAGTCTCAGAGCGGCTTACAAACTCCTTTCCCTTCCCCTCCCCACAACAGACACCCCGTGAGGTCGGTGGGGCTGAGAGAGCTCTTTCCAGAACTGCCCTTTCAAGGACAGCTCTGCCAGAACTACGGCTTGCCCGGGGTCATCCAGCAGCTTCAAGTGGAGGAGTGGGGAATCAAACCCGGTTCTCCCAGATTAGAGTCTGCGCACTTAACCACGACACCAAACCTAGAAAGGTGTTCACTCTGCTTAGAACTGCACTGTTAGTTACCTTCAGTGGCACATTGCTGTCTGTTAGGGTTACCACCTCTGGTCTGGGACATTCCTGGAGATTTTGGGGGCGGAGCCTAGGGAGGGTGTGGTTTGGAGAAGGGAGGGACCTCAGCAGGGTACAGTGCCCTAGAGTCCACCTCCCAAAGCTGTCATTTGCTCCAGAGGAACTGATCTCTGTAGCCTGGAGCTCAGTTGTAATTCCAGGAGATTTGCAGCCACTACCTGGAGGGTGGTAACCCCACTGTGTGTAATGGGAGTAATGGGTGTCCAATGAAGCTCATGGGCAGTAGGTTCAGGATGGACAAAAGGTGGGTTTTGCTGCCAGAGGATGTAGTGATTTCAAACCACAAATGGGCCATAGTGATTAACCGAAGGTACACTCCACCAAAGTTCACTGTGAAAAAATTATTTTATTACGGTTACGGTCCACAAACATTGCTTCTTCTTTTATTCCTTTATTTGACTTCATGCAATGCAAACATCCTTGTTTGGAAGCAGCCAGCAACATTGCATGAAGTAAAATAAAGGAATAAAAGAAGAAGCGATGTTTGTGGACTGTAACAGGATGTAGTGATGGCTACAAGAATAAACAGCTTGAAAAAGGGATTAGATAGATTCATGGAGGATCAGTCTATCAGTGGCTACTAGCCATGGTGACTGAGGGGAACCTCCACATTCAGAGGCACTAATCCTCTGAATCCCAGAGCCAGGCGGCAATCTCAGGAAAAGGCCTCGGCCTCTCTGCCCTGTTGTGGTCTGTCCAGATAAACTGGCTGGACACTGTGAGACAGGATGCTGGACTAGGGCTGTAGACAGACTGGCAGCTTGGTGTGATATGGTGCTGCCTCTAATTGTACCAGTTTAACGTGTTGTGGGGCATATCATCCAGACAGCACACCCTGCTGCTGGTTACCCACGTGGACATCCCATGGTCAAGCATCCACATTACTGCAGCGCCTCAGCCACGAACAATGCTGCCCAGTCATTTTTAAAATGCATACGTGTGCATATGTGTTCATGTATGCATATATGTGCTCATGCATGTGCATATGCACTCATGCACATGTGCACATGTGCACATATCGGGAAAACTCCCGAAAAACCCACCCTAGCGGTGGGAACAGATCTGCAGGTTCAGACCATCAATCCGTTTTCTTTGCACTCCCCTGCGTTCAGATATCCAGCCATGCGCAATGAATGTGTGGGGAATCAAAAGCACCACATGTTATGTAGTGGCTATTTACTCCAGTTCCAACTGGTCGTATGATGGGGCGAGTGCTACCCGGGAACGGCTGACAGCTGTGGCTGTGTGACCGGGCCCATTTAACCCGTTTGTGGAAAGTGCCTATATTGGGCCAACCTGCCAGTGTGAACGCAGCCTAGATGGACCACTGGCCTGATCCGGCAGGGCTCCTCTTAACGTTCTTATTAGGCTGTGTGGAGATTTGCACATGTGAAGTGCTACTGATTTCGCTGTACTGTTTGAATACATAAAACATAATTTGCTAAATGTTTAAAAAACTGACCCCCCCCAAATCACCCCTAATACAAATAATGGTTTTTTTAATCCTTTCTTTGTACGTTTTTTGAAATGGTCACTAAGAGCCTTGTTGCTGAACCCTTTTTCTAGTGCCAGTGTTTCTGGTTCATGTGCTTCTTTTGTACCACTGATTGTTATATACTATTTGTATGCAATGGGTACAATCTTTTTTTTAAAATGCTATTAATTGTAGAAGAAAAATTGGGGATGAGAAAACCAAAGATGGCATGAAAACAAAGACCCAGCGGGTTCAGTTTGCACAAGGAAGAAGAAGAGGGATCAAAATGGAGCTGGGTCCAGCTGAGCGCTTCTGCTGACGGCAGCTCCTTCCTCGGGGGGGGGGGGGGGGGGGGGGGGGCCCATGCAAGGAGCTCTTCAGGTGACCCCCGTGCATCCGTTTGACTCACGATCCGAATAAACTACAGAAATGAGGCCGTTTGAGGAGATGACATCTCTCTTAGCAGAGCAGATCTGCAAGGTCCAGCCAAGGGATTTTTGAGTCGTATCTCTACTAACATTGGTTCAGTATTTCAATGGCTAGGGGTGTGGAATGGTACAGTATAGCCTGATTTCCTCAGATCTTGGAAGCTGAGCAAGGTTGGAGCTTGGATGAGAGACCACCCAGGAAGGCTCTGCAGAGGAAGGCAATAGGAAACCACCTCTGCGTTTCGCTTGCCTTGCTGGGGTTCCCAAGAACTTGATTGCAAATTAATGGCACAGACATACAGACATATTTAATACTTGCTAATAAGGTAGGTACCCATGGGCAACTGGCTTTGCAGGGTATATTGCGGGCTAGTAACTTATGTGGACTTAGTTGCAAGATGTCTCTTGCATGAGATTGAGAGGTGATGCAAACATTATGTAAATTTCTGTCTTGTCCTAATAGCTGATTATTTTGGAGTATGTGCAGTGCAAATATCTCCCTCAAATGTGTGAGACAGAAAGTGGGAAGGAAGCCATTTTGCAATGTAGAGGGCTAGCCAATGGAGTGTTTTTGATTGGGTTTATAGATTGCCGGAAGACAAAACCCTATTGTTCCAAGCTTGTGCTTGCAATTTTGGGTTCATGATAATTGCTGTCCTAGTCAGAGCTGGGTTTGGCCTTGCAAGTATTCTGAAAGTCCACAATCCACTTACGTAGCTTGTAAGCAGAAGGTGTGAAAGAAAGGCTCTTCTGTGAAGGGGATGCCAGTTTCCCAAAACACCAGGCAAACTGCCGTCCAGCATGCTGAGAAACTGCCTGCAAATAATTAGGCCGGGGTGTTGGGAAAATAATATTGAAACTCTCAAGTAGACTCTGGTGTTTATAAATCAACAC